TAATGGTGTTGTAAATTCTGATGATACAACCTGTTTAAAGGTTTAAAACAAAAGGATTCTTTGTCCACTCTTATTATAGGGCGCTATTCATCTTATTTGTAGTTATGAGTCCTTAAAATGCGCTCGTTATTGTTTATTGCAAATGACAGTCACTTCGTCCTTTTATACGCGTGTTTTAACTGTACCTTACGTCTTTTATCTGTGGTTGTTCTTATTGGCTTATAAGAATCTTTAAGAAGTACACTGACAATTATTAATCGTCATCATTATTGTTTTCTTTATTCATTATTTTAACTTGCGTTAAAAGGCTATGTCAAAAAGAACAAGTCAATATATAGCCGTTCTTCCAAATTAGAACAGCTCTATGTTCGTAATTCAAACTTATTTTGTTTTTCTAAATACAAAATTAAATGGCATGCGTAGATGACGTCAATTGCCCAGACCTCCCAGTATATCAAAATCGGACAGGTTATCGTAATAATCATTGTACATTTCTTGATTAGAACTTAATTGCATTTATCCACATAGGAAGTGCTTCAATCAGAATGGTTGTAAACAAAAATCTAAGTATAAGCGGATGTTGTCATAATGAATTGGTCAAATCTAATGAGAGTAATTGAAGATAATGGGCCGGCGCGAACTTGTGGGGGGCGCACAATTAGTCAATAAAAAGTAATAAAAACTTTTTTTAGGAGTAAGTGCTGGCTGGTAATTTTTTGTGTTCCAAGTTTGAATATGTTATATGAAAGAAACGTTTGGGTATTTGCTTTGTTTTTTATTTGCTCATGGATTTGTGTTGCGGTAACAGTTTATGGTTAGATTAGCACCGTTTTATATACGAAAATTAGTTAGATAGAATTTAAAAACTACAAAATGTAGACATATCTTAAGTCCCAAATAACTAGTACAATAATCGACAAGTTTATTCACAAATAAGACAGAAACCAACGCTATTTATATATTTCCAAAAGCAACTTCTGAAAATGTCGCCTTTCAAATATCTACGAGTGTTTCAAAGTCAAAGTCAAAGCATTTATTTCAATTAAACCATAGTTTGGTACTTTTGAAACGGCAACAAATATAAAATAAATAATAGTCTGTCAGTCAGTCCGTCAGTGAAACTAGGTGAGGCTAGGTGCTCATTCCAAAATGTAGAAATTTTATTAGTTTTTGAAGATTCCTGTAAGTCGAGTCAAAAATAATTTAATACAACAACCACATTTTAATAACGACAAATACGCCTAACATCATGGGAATAATCTAAAAAGATAACTAACCAATGCACATGATACATCGCCATGAATATTGATACACACAACACACAGTCCAGTACAAAACCCGCAATGCATACCAAACAACGATTTTGCATACAAACACCATTTTTACAATACCTAGGACAATGGCGTATCTAGATATTATGCGAGTATAATATGAATGTGTTTCATATATTTATGAATGTTGGCTGGTTTACTTAGGTCTAAAGGAATTTGTGTTTTTGTGTCATCGTTGTAGAATTCAATTTTGTTTGGACGTTGTTAAGGGAATCTTTGCTTGGTCGGTCGAAGGACTGTTTGTTAGTAAAAGATTGTAGTACTTATATGAAGTCTAGCGAAGTATGAGGCTTTTCGATTAGAAGATTCTCAATATTAGCTCTAACAAAGAAAGAAATAAATCATAGCAGTTACCATCAAGTGTGGGAGAGCCATGCTTCGGCACGAATGGGCAGCAAACCGACGTGAAGCAACGCTTGCGTTGTGTTTCGTCGTGTGAGTGAGGTTACCAGAGACCCAATTACCCTCCCCTTCCCCATTCTCCCCAATTCCTGAAACCTCAACGATCCTCAAACTCCTAATCTCCAAAAGGCCGGTAACGCACTTGTAACACCTCTAGTGTTCCAGGTGTCCATGGGTGACGCCGATTGCCTACCATCAGGTGATCTGTCTTCTCGTTTACTGGCTTATGCCGTAAAAAAAAACATAAGAGTTGTAAAAATTGATATAGGTATCATAAACTCCCTTAGTAACTACAACTAAAGGACTATAATCGAACATATTAACACCAAAAAAAAAATCACATAAAAACAAAAACGATTTACAGTAGGTACAAAAAGTCCCCACAATTCGAATCACAATCACTCTTTAAATATTAAACATAAAGTTACGAACTAAACGTAGAAAACAAATGACCCGCTAAACTGACCCCATACATTAACAGTAGTCATACAAAAATCATAAGTGTTACGTGGACACGGAGTATGAGGGACACAGAGAATGGAGTGCTACATAGTAATTTACTGGCGGGGTCGCGCGACCTGTCATTACGTTTTGACAGGGCTGTCATGAATGACGTGAGTTTAAATTGTGTAGAAAATTAGCGGGAAATTCGTGTTAGAATTTCTTTTTCTAGTCCTTTGATCTGGAGTTAATGTTTTTGTGTTTTTAATGTGTTGGGTGTTATTTTCAAATCAAGTATTCAGTTATTTAAAATCACTACCAATGTAGGTATTATCTAGTTAGTGTTTTTAAATAAGGGTGCACAGCTTACTTATCTGACTAGATTAAACTAACACGGAAAATGACCCTGAACATTAAATTTCTTTTTTGTTTAACTGGTTTGTAACTCAGAGTAAATGCTGATCGGGGTTTTCAAAGTAACACGCTAAAATTGTAATTCCTTGATTTTTACAAATATATTACCTTATAGTTAAAGCTACTTAGAACTTCTTCTTGACATATCAAACTGATATGTGACAATATAATATTCTACTGCCAACCCTACCACTAAAGTAATATTTTAACACATAATTCGCGGGCGTACTCGTGTGGTAACATGTGTCTTTCAGTTCACGACGCTTGTCAAACCTCTCTAATATTAAACGGAGGCGTGTCTGTCTGTCGTGATGTCACAAAGTTTGTGGGAAAAAGTAGTTGAAGAATTTTATCAATGATATAGTGTAGTGAAATGGTTGAGTATTGGAAGTTTGGAGGGAATTATATGTGAGAAGTTCAATAGTTCGTGTTTAAGAGATTTAATATCATGCCTGTTTACATCAACCTCTGTTAAATTTTAAGGAACCACTAGATTAAGATAGGTGACACTTAACTACATTTTGATTTTCATCAACCTTTAAGTTACACGTAGCAGTACAAATAAGGGGTTAGTTGAAGTGATCCTTCACGCTAGGCAATTCTTAGTTAAGAGATGATTTAGGAGTGGTTGATGAATTCATCAATTAATCAAATCCTGTCACAATGCTATGCGTATAATATTGACCATGTGTTCCAGTATAGAAATGGCTGACATACATTTAACAATAATATAAGAATTAGGTAACAGTTCTTTATAATTTCTTGTATTTAGTAGTAACAAAAAAAAAACATATTTTGTAATGTAAGTAAACAATGGCACACTATATAAAAAAGTAAATAACCTCCTTTCGATTTAAAATAAGAACAACTTACAACAAAGCACTGCTTAATTTCGCGGCAAAATTTAAAAATAAACGTTGTGTTCTTTTTCAAGATTACCGAATTATTTTATTACTTTTCTTAGTAATTTTTAAGCTCCACTTAAAGATTAAACAGTTGTCTTTAATCGCCAATCATTATTCACCACAAACGCCTACTTATTAATGAACTAGTCACAACTAGACTTGCCATAATAATTCTATTACAAACGCCAACCATTTTCCATCGATCACGCAAATTATTGTTGCAATTTAAGGTTGATTTCCCGTAACAGCGATCGCGGTAAAAGATCGCGATGCGTTCATACATCATTCATAGGTGCAGACGATAATGATACTTAATGACATGGGGGTTGGAAGCGTCGGTGGAATTTAAAAGATGGGTTATTATCGTAATAGGCTACCGATATGAGAATCGTTCTTGTGGCCGTTAGAAATTGATTTTTGCACGTGTACACGTGGGACTAACTAAACCATCTATAAAATAGTTCTATAGAAATGCAACTAGCAAGGAAATATTGCCGCCATTATATTAAATTGTCACGGAGTAATTAATAAATGGAGTACTAACATGGTATATTACAAAATGAAGCGACACACGTAAAAATACAACATGGATCATACACTCAAATTAAGTATATTTTTTTATTTATTACCACGATATATATACACATATAAATCTAATAAAATACATGAATACTATTTCTTCATGTTTCTAGAAGAAAACTTATTGCCTGTCAATCGCCTGGCTTGTGAGGTAATCGTAAATTGTAAACTTTGTAGTATAAGGAATAAAATAGTAGGAAATTTGCCCGTTTACATGCTTCACGCGTGTGAGAAGAATGGCGATAAATAAACAGCTGTCATGTTTTACATATAGATTATAGGTTTAACATCACTAGTTAGTAGTTAGAATACTAATATAAGTGATGTCAGAATTCTAATTATTGTTGTTTTTAGACTCTTTTCGGATGCAGTTTTATTAGGATCGACTACAGGGCAAGGGGTCTCGGGTTCAACTCCCGGGTCCAGCAAAGTAATACATAGTTTTACAAAAAAAATATCAGTAATAGCACGGAGCTTGGAATTGGGCCCGGTATATGGCAATAGGCTCGCCCTCTATTATATGGCACTCATAACATAAATCGTGAAAAGTGTGTTACATTATACAGTGGGATTAAATGCCGTAATGTGCATCTCTGCCTATCCCTTCGGGATAAAAGACAAAGTTTTGCTTTTTCTCGAATGCAAATTGAGAATAACAAATGATGATGACAGATTTTAATTGTTACCCTTAGTAGCCAAATCGAATAGGCACTGAATATTTTAAATAAACATGATTACCGTAGTGACTATTTAGTGAACTTAACATTCCCAAGTTCGATTTCCTGGTCGATGACACAATTTTTTTTTCATATCATTAGGAAAAGTTTTATATTTTAATTTAGTCTTACAATATTTTTTTACAATGTCCCTTCTCTATCAACCACATGAACATACGAGTTATGCGAGCACTTTCCTAAGCTGTCTAAAGTGTGTTACACAGACGATCCTGAATTCGATGCACAAGTACCAGCCCAGGTTCCACCTGGTGAGAGCCAACGACATCCTGAAGCTGCCATACTCCACCTTCAGGACATACGTCTTCAAGGAGACGGAGTTCATCGCGGTCACCGCGTACCAAAATGAAAAGGTAAGTTGTACCGAGATACTAATTTGACTTAAAAACAAAGAACAAAGGTTCCCAACTTTGCCTGGTCAAGGACCACTTTCATCATTCTTGTTAGGTTAGGGACCACTATTACTATAACTTTTTTCATGTGATATTACACTTAGATTACATTCGCTCATAAAAATAGTGACTTTTGAATTATTGAAATAACTTGCTCTTTTTAGTTGTCTCGTTTGATACAAGTCTAATTTGAGATTCAACCGAGTCATATATTGACAGAATAGTCTTGTGTATATTTTGTACCATTTTTTATCTTCCGCGGACGGATGGAACAGAGATGCATACTTAAGAATACTTTTGCGCCAGTTACGTAATAAGTCCCGGGAAATAGAACCTATTTTATATACTTTCTTCTTTCACAGCCCTTTGGGCTTGGAAAACGAAGAAAAATACTGATATAAATATAAATTATTTATTCATTATTATGTAAAGGATGTCAGTCTTGAAGCATAAGAAATGTGCATATACATATATGGTTACTAATCAAATATTCATATATTAGCTTCTGTGACAGTAATAGAACATAGAACTCAATAAATTAGTTTGAGGTGTTCGTAATCATGAAATCTTTGCATTTAAATAATAATTTAATATCGTATTGGTATAATCTGCCCATCGCAAACTGCAATCTGCACATAGTTGTACATTAGATGGACTTAATGCCGTAGACATTATCTGCCAGTCTCACCTTATGCTTAAGGTAATGCAGAGAATACGGTAATACGAATAGCGGTAATACGGTAGGCCCAAGGAGCTGAGAGAAAAAGCTGTAAGAATCTGGCACTTCCTCTCGCCTCACCCGGATGGGGGAACTATTTGGATGATTTTCCCTGCTCAAAAAAAGGTCCAAGGAGCTAGTAATGGATTTAAATGTAAAAATACGTTTACTTTGACATTAAAAAGATACACATGAAAATAACAACATCGATTCAATTTAAAAAATACGTCAAAATTAACGAGGACACATAACTTGCTTTTCTGCGTATTCCTTATTGAAATACGCAATTTCCTAAGTCATTCTCACAATAGTTATAAGTATACAGAAAGGAAATCAACTAAATCAATACTTAAATGTAACATAATGATAATACTTTAATAACCCCTTTTCATTACTTCCCGTCCTCGCAAGTAAAGTAAACGGAATAGTTTTATGACAATCATATATATTTATATCACTTAATAACTGTTACTAAACATGATTTTATACCTTATAGTACGATGGTTTCGTAATATTTGTTTTGAAATAGTATTTATGTAATGAGACAGTAGTAGGTAGTGTTATTTCGAAATAGTAACCCATAGTGAATATTTCTTCCGTTTATTGCAAAATAATGTATGTTTTACAACTGCACAATGCACATACATCTGTTCATTTGAGAAATGACTATCTTTTCGTTTTAGTATGGAAAGATTAAATGATACTTTAGATAAGGCATAAGTTAAGGTTGTTAGAAAGAATCGTACCTAATGTTTTCTTTACCTACCCTTGACATTAAATCTTACTTTTCCAGTACTGTACAAAATGTTTAATTAATTTAATTTGTCCACAGATAACACAATTGAAGATCGACAACAATCCGTTCGCGAAAGGCTTCCGAGATACGGGAGCGGGCAAACGAGAGAAGAAGTAAGTACCTAACCCTTGGAACTAATTGGAACATCTCCCACAAAACAGTGGCAAGTCAATGGAGTTACGACATACAGGCACTTTCAATAACCAATTAGAATTACGTAACATCACGTGACTACGCATCGTACAAAGACAGTTGAAACATGATATTGAGGACTCCATTTACTTACTACTCCGTGTCTCAATCGACGCTTTCCATTTTCAAATTGAAGCAACATAACTAGGCAGACAACTACGTTTATACAACAGATGTATTACTTAACGATACCAAAATAAAAATAAACGTCCAAACTATCACTTAATAGTCCCATTCCTATATTTTAATACTTAATTGCTTAATTTATTACCTTGTAAACCGAACGAATGGAAAAAATATCTATTAATATAATTCAACTACGTAGGTGGGCTGGTGGGCTTCAAAAAGACAAATGGCGGCGCAAACTGGCGACTGACTATTTAAGTAAAGTTAAAAGCTAACTAAATTAGCGTGGTATCTGTGAATCTTCAGAATTAATTAGGACAGGGCGTCGTTTCCGAGTCCCGAGCCGTTGAAAATTCAAATTAAACCAATCGGGCGCCTCCTTATTCGTGTTCGAGGTTTAAACACGGCGGGTAACGCTCTAAATGGTGGAGTCATTCGACTTGGCGCTTTTTTCCAGCGTCTTTGGCGTGCAAGGGAGAAAATTGGATTTCCGCGATAAAATCAGCTTTAGTTTATTTTTTTCTTCGCCGTATAATTTGCTCGGCTGTGGGGATAGGTTGCCGTTCTGCTACCTTATTTGAAATTCGAACAAGAGCTCAATTAGTGGGTGATACCCATCTGTTATGGCGCGCATCGTTAGCTTGCATTAGGATGGCGTTTTGTTAATGCTATTGTAGTTTGTTGCGGAATAGTTTTCAATATTTGCTGTTCAAAGTTTGCGAATAAATTAAGGTGCTCATAATCAGAAGCGTATAACACACGAACTAAAGTTTTAGTAATAAGTATTAGTAATGGCGAATGTAACTGTTAGTAAATAAAATTCAAAATAGGAAAATCTGTATCTGTTTCAGTTTATTTTAGAGTCCTTGTTACACTATCATGTCCATAGCCCTGTAATCGCCACCAATATACCCTAAAACCACAAAATAACATGAACAGGCCACGTCCGGTAACGGAAGCGATCCTAAATGCGCTTACATCGTATTGCACGGCGACCGGACGGCCGGACGACGGACGCTGCGAACGAATCTTCACAAAATGGCCGCCGGAAGCGCGGGAAACGTGAACGTTTTGACAAACGCCGCGCTCGGAAAAGCCGGTACGATGGCAACACATGCCGCATAACACATCCGGTTGTAGGGTTGCCAGCGCTAAATTATTTATATTGTTGTTCATTTAGTTAAGTAATGAGTCCGTGTTTAGAGTGAGAAAAAAGGCTTAGGTTAGTAAAATGGCTTCCGGATTTGGTCCGAGGTACACTGAGTAGGGAGTGAAAATTATGGAGCTTTAAATTTGGATATAAAAAGTGTTTCATTGTTATTGAAATACATGTTGAAATATGTAGTAAACTAATGCTGAAATATTTTAAGTTTAAATTTCAAAACACCCGTATTATCACCAAACAAAGAATTAAGCAGAGGATTAAGTGAAAGAATTTGAAAGAAATGCGACCTTATTATCACAATTCCGAACTCCGTGCTACCTATATCCGAATATCTATAATAATCTGTAGAGAGATAAATTCTGTACATGAAATATATTTCCAAAATAACTATCAGGGGGTGATTAGGGATCGATACTAATGCCAAAAATGCAATCAGTAACATTTTTGTCTGTCTATCTGTTTGTATGTATGTACACGCATCACGCAAAAACTACCGGTCTGATTGCGATGAAACTTGGTATAATTATTACTAAGTAAATAAATTTCTAACATCATCATCATCAACAGCCTATAAATGCCCACTACTGTGTTAAGCCTCTTTTCACGCGGAGAAGATGTGGGCATTAAACACCACGACGCTTGCTCAATGCGGGTTGGCGATTACAAACTTATAATTAGAATTTATAAGCCCAGGTTTCCTCAAGATGTTTTCTTTCAGTGGTGTCTAGATAATCTTAGAAAGTACATATAACTCGGAAAAATTCCCATTAGCACTTGCCGTTGGTAGGTTTCGAACACGCACCCTCATGCATGAGCAAGGGGGCGTCTTAAACCTCCGGGACCCACGATATACCAATTTTTTAACGCTTAGCCCAACTGGTATGTACTCTAGTCTCGACACTCTTACTGAAAGAAAATAATATTCTAGAGTGAAACTATGTAATAGTTTACAAATAAGGTTATTTCTGAGATCAGTTCCAAACAAAACAGTGTCATTCAAAGACGAAAGTACGATACAAACTCAAACTCAAAGTCTTTGTTTGCATGTTAAGGTAATACATTCAGGTCTTATTAAATAACAGGCACAGCTTAACGTAACAGCTTACACTACCATAGATAAAAAAAACATAGCTCGATACAAATAAAGACAGCGCCACTAGTGGCGAGAATCTAAACTAGTTTGCGTTCTATTTTCATTTCAAAATTTTAATACTTACCAACTAATTACGCAATAGATATTAACTGACCACAACAATTTCTTCAATAGGGTAGATGACTAATTTTTATTTTAATGTCCGTATGGTAGATTATTTAAAAACATTAGACACGTATTTTTTAATTTCTTATGGAAACGAATAGTTTCGAAGATATATTGATTTGAAATATCGCATGACCACACTTTTGAATACGATTTATACTATAAAAAAAATGACGTAGCTACCTCCTCCCACTCGTAAACTTTGATTCGTTTTAACTAAGTCTTTTTTTTATTAAACGACAAAATAAAAAAATACGTGTCTAATATTTTTTTATTACCTAACTGACGGACTAATTAGGTTTTTAATTTTCATACCCTGTCATCATCCCTATTAAATCTATTCAGGAATCTTCAAGCAACCCTATTCCTGTTCCTTTAGTTCGGCCGTGTAACTGGGTGTAACATACCTCCGCCATAGACTACACCCCTTTGACATCGCCCACTGCTGGGAGAATGTCCATTTGTCTCCAGCTACTAATTAAGACTGGTTTTGAGGTCATTTTCACCGTTTAAAGGGATAGGCAGAGGTCTCTATTTTGGGGTAACGCTACTAGCAATGAACAATATTAGAATTTTGAAATATTTTCTTACTAGTTTCTGCCAGCGGGTTCGCCCGCGTTCTTGTGGATAAAAAGTAGTGTACGTATTATTGTAAATCATAATCTATACTTGTTCCAAATTTCATCTCGATTCCTTTAGTTGTTTTCGTGTAATTGACTTACAAACATACACAAAAACATTTGTAATCTTATAATAAGAATTTGTTTTGTATAAGTTGGGCAGTTTCGACTTCAATTTTATTGGGAAAAGACCAAGGGAGAGATTAGTAGATACTTTCACAACTCATAGATATTACAGACACCTAAATCGAGTATTTATTAATTAGACATAGACAAACACATGTAAAACGCTAACCAAGTTACTCATCTTCAATTTATTTCCAGTAAAAAAGACAAAACAACTATATCTACTTAGTATACTATCCTTGTCTGCATAAGAACAGAGTGTGGCGCCCCCTTGCGGCTCCCGAACTAACCGCGGCGTTTTAAGGGATAAAAATTTGACAAAATTACAAGGCAGGCCACCCCTGTGTCGCAAGTTTACATTGTAACGTGAACACCCTAATGTTAACAGTTTAAGTTAGGGTTGTCCAAATTATGCGTACAATTTTTGACAGTTTAAATATTGTTTCAAATATTTTTTTTGTGATAAAAAATTCAGGTCTTTGAAAGTTTATCAGTCATTGGCATTTTGATTTTATTAAGCGTAAATTACTCAAGGTAGGATTTTAGTTTGATTAAACAGGTATGTACACTACACTCAATAGTTTCATTTTATACTAATAGCATTGAGGTCCGCCTTTACTACATTATCTAACTTTGATAACCATTACCTAAGTAACATAATGTGTCAAAAACAATCAAAATTAACAACAATAATTCTCTATCAGTCATCTTATTATGCGATCTCAAAAACTAAACACTACCAGCCCTATACAACTAGGGGTGGTCCAAATTAAATTTTATCAGTCGACAATGAGACGAGTTAATAAAACGAATTCAGTACGGAACCTCGGAAACCCAAGATGGGACCGTATTTAGGGATCAGTAAAACAATGCAGATGATAAAGAGTTGTTTGTTCAATGGGCGACAGAAGGCAAATAATTGCTTTCCTTTTTGTCTTTTTTAGGGTGAGCTAAACGTTTGGGACGAATCTTTTTATCTTTTTTTTTCGGTTGGTACAGTTTAAAAATATTGTACGCGTTTAGCGAGGGGATTGATATGTTTTGCTTTGGCCTTCGTGTTCGAATTAGAAAAAATGTGATTCGAATTTTGTTTTTTTTTTTTGTGGAATTCGTAATTCAAAATTAGTATTCGGTATTCATTTCTTAGTAGGTACCTATGTTAACATTAATTGGATACTTGCCAACTAGTAAAATTCAATACTTTTTACGAACTGTCAAAAAACGACAGTTTTCTATGTTTTTGTACGAGATTGTGTATTGTGACGTCACATTTTTTAGCGTCAAACAGCATAATGATTTTTTTTTAATTATAGAAAACTAGATTAAGTTAGTCATAAAATCGTAAATATTTTTTAATATTTCATTACATTAACACCTTAAACGCCATGGGGGACAAGGTATGGGCCACGATAGCGGAGGATTTACCTTCAACAGTTTTCTGTCGGCAGTCAAACTGTTAACGAAATAATTTATTTTTGATTGAGGGAAGTAGGTACCCAATTGTAATATGAAAAAAAATCTGATCTCTATTTCATTTAATAGTAAGAACACTTACTTTAAGTTTTATATAAAGCTATTTTGTTATTTACAAACTGAGTATACACATACTAAAAGCATATTTTATTAATTATCCCTTTAAAAACTCCATGTAATCCAAATAAATTTAACAGAGTCTTCAACAAGTCCGTAAAATCGCGTGACTGTGAGACGTATCTTCAATTTTAATAACTCAGCAGTCGTAGTAAGCAATTATCAAGACTACTTATCAATTACGTAAAATTGTTTACACTTCTCTTGATCAAATATGGCGATTAAACTCATCTTTCCATGACTGGATGAGGTATTCTAAGTACCTACTTTTGTTAGCAGGGGCTTAGAATTGTGCCTATATTTTTTTTTAATTTAAACGTTGACCCACATTAGGATTTCCTACTGTGTCGTAGGTGCGTTTACAAACATACAAGTTTACATGCATATGACAGCCAGACCCGGAACAACGGTCTGTGGATCACACAAATAATTGTTCCGTGTGGGAATCGAACCCGAGACACGTTGCCCAGCCACCGCACCAACCGTGCAGTCGTGTTTTTAAAAATCATGTTTTAAACTACATCAATAACATGTGATAATATACAACTGTACTTCTAAATCCTTGTTCGTATATATGAGGTAGGTTTGCCATATTCTCCAACCTTATTGGTGAGGTCACAGCTTAAAGGTTTTTTTTAAGGGGGAAAAATCATCGAATGACTGCTCCCGCCTGGGTGAGGCGGGAGGGAGTGTCAGACTATTACTGACTAAAAACCACCCCAGCTTAAAGGTTTCAGTTCAACTGAATGGACCTAATTTTATTATATACCTAATTATGTTCATATCATAACTTTGCATGCCAAGTGAAGGCAAAATATTGAGAAACTGTAAACTTTGTTAACACTTATGTTTTATGTACCCATGTTTGAAAATGATTAAATGAATTTGAAATTTGAATTTGAGGTTTACCAGAAACCGCTAATGTGCGGTCTATATGCGTTACGTCTTATAGTCATGTATGCACATTATTATTTTTCCTTTTTACACGCTTAAAGTGTGTTGTACGATAGATACCTAATGGCGTCGCGACGGTGTCTCAAATTTCACCATCATTAGAAAATGATTAACCTTTCTCCAGCGGTCGGGGGTCGTTGCGACCCATTACGTCAAATGTCAAACGATTCACACCCCACTACATTGCAAAGACATTTCATATAATTTAAATTGTTCTGTATCAGAATAGTTTGGTGTACAAGGTATAATTTTACGATGCTTCACTTAACAAGACGAAAAAAAATGTTTTTCTATTGTTTGGGTTCGTTAGTAATAAGAAATAAGTCTGTTTCGATGAAATTTAATAATAAATACAAAATAAATTGTGACTAGTACTTCCATATTTCACGTTTATTGTAGGACCTGAAGAGGTATGCAGAGGCAGTAATTCTAATCTTTACTAGTTATTTATTAAATCGCTCTCAAACATAACTGGTAAAACGATGTTAACATTAACCAATATTGTATTTGTTTTCATTCACTGCCTACCCCTTTAACAATGAAAAGACACCTCTTTTCATATAGAGAAAATATAACATAACCCCACAGGGTTATGTTATATTCTCTCTTTTCTCTTTCTATCTTCTTCTCGCCTATATAACCTCCAATATAATTGGTAGACAAAATAAGATGATAACACGAGTAGTCTGTCCGTGTACCGCAGGCAGGCGATGCTGACCGCGCGGTCAGACAACAGGGACGATGACGACGAGCGGCCGCTGGACGTCGGCGGCCCGTCCAGTCCGCCCCCGCCCACCACCTCCACGCAGCACAATACTAGCTGTAAGTATACTTTATAAATAAAAATAAAATATTTTTGTATTTATCTATGTCTAAGCTATTAAAATTATAAGAAACTGAGATAGCTAAGAGTTCCAGTCCAGCTGAACTGTCGGCTCGAAAATTGATGTATAATTCAACCCCCAACAAAACAGTCTGACTAATACTAATACCAGTTTAGCCCTAGAATAGGAAATAACAAATAGTTTCATTGTACATTTCACAGACAATTTGTTATTATTATGGAACATAATTTATGTAACTGTATTGGCGATGGGTGATTTCCGGACGCGAGCGTTTACAGGGTTGTATGGAGTGATTGATTCGTTCAGTGATTCAGTTCATTCGTTCTCAGTTCACTTGTTCATTCATTCGTATTGCGTTGTGTAATGTCAATAATGATATCGTTCTAATTTCAAATTGCTCGTTGTTGGCATAAAATTACTTTCTAGCATTATTTATGCATTCAATCGCATTATTATAGTTTGATTAATCGATGGAATTGTTCACGTTAGCGCGTAATTACTCTGTCCATTTTACATGCAATAGTTTTCACATAGGTTTGATACCTTTTTTTTACATAGTGGATTTATTTTTAGTGTAGGTTCTAAATAGTATTTCTCTTGCAGCCTGGTTCAGTTCGAGTGGAGGTGGCGGTGACTCGGGCGCGGAGGAGGGCATCGAGGCGGGCTCCGACTCATCGTGCTCGGCAGGGCGCGCGCCCTCTCCCCCAGCAGGGCCCTCGCGGCCCTCGCCGGCGCCCGATGTGTCGCTGGGTCCCCCGGTGCAGCCGCCGCTGCTGCCCTACCTGTACCCGCCGTCGCTGTATCCGCCGCCGTTCTTCCCGCCGCACCAGATGCCGCCCGGGCTGCTGTTCAACCTGCACCCGCTGCTGCAGCAGTACTCGCTGCCGCCGCCTCCAGCGCCGCCCGGGCCTCACGGGGCGGCTGCGCTAGGCAAGGCGCACAGGTTCGCGCCGTACGCGCTGCCAGGGCTGGGCTCGGCGTTCGAGCAGGTGGCGCCGCGAGCGCGGTCGCTGAGCTCGTCACCCGCGCGTCCGCGGCCGGGCTCGCCCCCGGCGCGGGCCGCGTCGGCCGACCCTCCACCGGACGCGCCGAGCTCCACCACGCCGGCCACGCCGCCCGCCTCCGACCTCAAAAGCATCGAGCGCATGGTGAACGGCCTCGACGTCGAGACCCAGGACTGATCGATCCTAGTACTGTACATACCTGTGTATTTATATGGTGGGCCCCGGCCGACGTTTTGTATCGTTCCTATTTTGTTTTTTCTTTCGAGTTCTATTCGGGTCGATATTCGTATACTGATTGTAAATAGTTAAGCTTACATTAGGATTCACGATGTAAGGTTCTCCGGACGGACGAGGTCGCGACAATATGACTCTCTGAAACAAAACACTTCAATCTAAGTCAAACTCTGAACACATTCATCTCTCTTTTCCTTTCTTTTGATTCCCGTGAGTTGTAGTCAAACAGTGATATCCGACAAATCCCATTATGTCTAATTTGTCTGTTCTCGCGACACCGCCCGTCGAGCGTAGCAACCCTCACGTTAGCGTCACATAGCAACACCGCAATAGCAATAGTTTTAAATTAATACTCTGATTTCGACTGTCCGCGGATTGTAGATGAGATGTTATAGGTAACTATGGAAACGAGCTAATTGTGAAGACCAAAGTGAAGTGACAACAACATCAAGGACATAAATGTGTGGTTTATAAAATAGAGTAATGGAGTTTCTTATATTGCATGACTTTTCTCTAGATGTTAAAATTAGAATACCTGTTATTTGACTTTTATTCCTTTAATAATGATAATCAATATTTTGTTTTATTTTCGTTTTTATATTTTTGTAGTCTTACAATCCAGTGGTTTATTAGTATTTTGTTGATGTCACCACTACAACCCGTAAAGTCGAAATATTAATTTCATTTCCCACTTCGAATAATTAATTATTATTATTAATGATATCGCTTTATTTTGTAAATACATTTTGTAAGGTATATTTACGTGTTTAACTAATAAATAGACATATTTTGAAAATATGTTTTGTCAATTGTGCTGTGAGATAGCATGGGTCCGATTGCTGCTTTTTAGTATCTATGTAAATTAATTGAAATTAAATTTTTTGTAAAAAAGTATTTACCTGATTGTAAAAATTGGTAAATAATCGTATAGAAAGATGAATGTTACTTCGATAGACAGTTTTATAAGTTGGTGTAAGTAGACATTTTAAATTAAAAGAAATAAGCGTTTAAGTAATTAATCGGCATTTTCATAATGTCATTTTATGAAAATTTGTCATAAAACTTATAAGTCTTATAACACTGTCTACGCGAAATAAATAAATAATTAAAATACTAAGTATAAAATTTTCTATCTTCAATTGGCAAAATGTAACAAAAAAGCGATTTTTCAAAAAAGCAACAATCGGACGCGAGCAAAAAAAAACGATTGATAAAAAAATCTAACTATAAGTTAAAGTTTGTAATATATAGTTAATAAATATTGTAGTTAAAAATACAAAATATATAATTATAATAATAATTATAAAATGAATATAATTTTCCATGGAATTCATTAAAGTTAAGCAGAAATAGAGAGCTCGGTAAATAGAAATAAATGTTTTAGTACATATTGACCTAACTATAATCATATTTAATTTTTCACTTACAAAATAAAGACATTTAAAAATGGACTTGGAAATTGCTATCAAAGTCAAATTTGGCAATAGTGACTGCAACATGAAACGAATATAGCAAACTAAAATCGAATAAAAAAAATATACGAAAAAAATTAAGACCACTTTTTAATTGATTTTTTTTACATCTCAGTTCATATCAGTTTCAATAAAATTCAATTCGAAATATGAAGTTCAAAATACGTCATAGGTCACTATGTACTAAAAGAAACCATAAACAAAGCAGTTATTATGTTTTTTTTTACATCAACGTCAAACAAAATGTCACGTCACAATCACATCAAGCGAGTGATTTGATTGCAACAAAGAATTGTTTTTGCCATGTTTTCTACAAAAAAACAAACAAAACAACGTTAGCTTCGTGAAATGGAAGGAGACTGTAATTTTGCAACAGTTGTAATTAAAAATTATTCATTAAAATATATAGATCAATCTATTGACAAAAATATGATTGTTTTCTTTCAATTCCCCTGGATTTGATTCTGCGTCCTGAATATCATTAAACTTGCATACAAGGCATTGATAATCCAAGGATTTTTTAAATAGCTATTTTCAAAATAATGGACATTAACTAACTAAAACTCGCGAGTTACTTAAAAGCTCTACTAGTTTCGAACCACAGAGGGGTTCTTCCTCATGAGCAGCGTGCGCGGTGGCGGCGATGTCGCGCAGCCTACTGGCCAGGTGTTGGGCTAGATACGCAAGTAGCAACACTGAGGTGAGCGCCAACGCTAATTTGGTAATTAATGCTTGAAATAATGAACTCAAATAGAACTTAAATACTGTAATTGCCTGAAATCTTCGTCCACCTACTTTTATTCCGTCGTCTATTTCTTATTGGTGCATATTACTTCTCTTAATAATTCAAGTTATCTTATATTTAATATTCTAGCCTCATTAATCGTTGTGTCAAATGCAGTAGCATCACGTCTTTTTTTAGAATTCCTAAATATATTGACGATACAATAGTTGTATTAATTAATACAGATTCAAGAAAACTGGTAACGAACTCAAGCAAGCAGTGTAAAGAATTCCTTCGAAGATAAACGATAAAAGTACCAATTTTATAATAAAATAGTTTTTGTTGTGAATTTGTAAGTACTTATGCATTTTTAAAATTTTAAAGTTAATAGCAGAAGAAATCTAATTTACTTGACTGCCAATAGATAACTGTTTAATGCAAATCCTCTGCTAACGCCGGTGACCCCCGTGGCGATTAACGTGTTATAAACAACAGCACTTCAAAACTACGAATGTCAAATATAACCTAACTTTTATAAAGTCACCTGCAATAAGGTAGTTGACAGGCCGTCAAATTCAATACTTTTATTGAAATGTCAAAAATGATACTTTTCTATGAATTTTGTATTGGATCGTAACTAAACTAATGATGTCATCATATTTCTGCGTCAAATAGCATATTTATTTCCTTAAAATTAGCGAGAAAACATCCAAAAGTAGGTAAATTGTCTAATCAATGTATCTCATTCATGTATGATTATTTTTTTAATAATTTATTGCATTGAAAAGTTGAAATAATTTATTTTAAATTAAACCTAGAAAACTATCCAATTCCCGCGAACAGCCACCCACAGATAAAAAATAAAAAAAAGAAACTTGTCAACGACCAATCTCACACAATCAGGAAACAGGCTAACAGGCTGAGAATCTAACTGAGCCCATCTTAACTGTGCCCATAATAATTTAAAACAATTACATTACATCGTAAAACAACGACACGTAATTGGGGCCCAACAACACGATGGCATCTCGAGGTGTCACGTACGTAATTGGTCGCTTGGTATCTGATCGCGTTTGTGTTATTCGCCCACTTAGCAAGATCTGTATGCTAAACTAGTATTATGAGTTGTCTCGCTAGGCCAGTGGTTTCCAACCGGTGGTCCGCAGTAGACAAAATATGATCCGCGAAACGAAAAAATATATAGTTAAATAATTATTTACCTATGTATTTTATAACAACGATTTAAAAAACCGGACTTTGATCCCCTCTTTTTTTAAGTCTATTAAGTGTAACAAATGCTTTTCTAAAACCACATCAAAATGTGTTCAGCGAAACCCAAGGTATACAAGCACAAACATACATACATACGGTTAAAAATATACACCACTGACCAATAAAAATTACGGTTGAACCTAAAGTAAATGAATAACTGCTTTCAATCATCCATCATCCACTAGTTTTAAGGGAAGTCTAGGAAAACATTTCAATACCTGGAATTCTAAAAAAGTTAAGTGTTAAAAAGTTTTAGTAATAGTGGTCCTTGACCAAGAAAAGATTGGGAGCCCCAGTACTAGGCGATGCGATGGGAAGGTGCGACGCGAAACGTTCCACTGATGTGCTTAAGGATAAGAGGTTAAGGTACTAATCCAGTGAGGTGAGCGGAGCAGACCTAGATGTTTCATTATTAAGATTTTTGCAGTGTACCTTAACTGCCTCGTTAGCTGAGTGGTTGCAAGAGCGACTGCCGCCGGGCAAGAGGTCCGGGTCCAGCAAAGTATTACTGAGTTTTTAAGAAAAATCTCAGTAGTAGCACGGAGTTTGTAATTGTGCCCGGTAAATGGCAATAAGCTCACCCCCTATTACATGGGACTCATAACATAAATAGTGAAAAGTGGTTGTTACATTGTAGGTACAGTAGCACTAAGTGCTGTGCTCTGCCTACCCTTTCGGGGATAAAAGCCGTGATGTTATACTATGTGAATCAAGACCCCAAATACTGATACAAGAAGTTCCTCGATCCTACCATCATCATAACTTAGCCACAACATTTCCATTGCTGAACATAGCCCTTCCCCTATGACTTTAAATCAGCCCAATGCCACCCTCAAATAGCACAATCTGGGATTGCGGGTCTCCGTCCATAAACGGCGCTGATTGCTTACCATCAGGTGATCCGTCCGTTCGTTTGCTCCCATTTCCTATAAAAAAGTATTTCTACAATAAAAAAAGTATGTGATACACACGTTGTCTCTCCCTCAACGTAGTGTTAACCTAAGGTCATTCGGAGTCGCGGAGAACCTAACGGGTAACCGGGGCTCCGGCTCGACGTGCAGGAGAAGGAACGGGGTGGTTTTTAGTCAGTAAGAGTCTGACACTCCCTCCCGCCTCACCCAGGCGGGAGCAGTCATTCGATGATTTTCCCCCCTTAAAAAAAAACCTAAGGTCATTGTGACAGCATTACTTTTGATTAACAAGACCGATTAGGAGCAGGTTTGATGCCCATTCATGTCACAAAGAGAGATTTGTATCATAACGCCAAGGTTAAGTTCATCCTGCTAGGTTAAAGATTAACGTAATTATGTTACGGTTAATCAGGGTAACTTTTTTTGAAAGCAATTTTAAAAAAAATATAAAAGAATACTACAAATAAATGACTATTTACAGAGAGCATCAAAAAATTTGTCCGCATCGACGTCAATAGGGAAAGTACCCAGAAAGCTGGCAGCATAGCCACGTTGTATGGCAATGCTTAACTTCTGGCCGAGGAATAGACCAGCCCTCTAGTAACGAGATACGTCGACCAGGCGTTTTGAGATATTCGTAAATAAAGTATGGGCACTGAGACCCCACTTGTTACTTGATAGGTTTTATTAATTCCTATCACATTCATTAATAGCCGGTGCATTGCTAGACTATGGGTTTCCTCTAAAATTGATATGCTTGGTAGGTGTATTGAGAGTAGCAAGTCAAATAGTTCTGACCGGGGAAGGTTTATCAGAGAGCGATTGACGGGTTCCTGAATTCCTGTTAAATAAGAAGTCTTAGTTGACAACCGCGGGAAACGTAAAGGTGACAAATAAATCTGCCGTAACCACACAGCACACGACACATACATGGGAAAGTACCTATCTTTAATTAACAGCAGGTACCTACACCTTTTTTGTAATTTGGACAATGGAAAATCATCAAATGATTACCTATCATGTTCTGTAATCATGTACGAGTGTATGTATATTAAATAATCAGCTTTACTTTACTTTTGATCGATTACTTATGTTAAAGAATTAGTTTATATAAATAACTTGTGCTAGAATAAGTAATATTGTGAGTGCTCCTTTCGTCTGCGATACAGGATATTCTTCCTAGTACAGGCATTCAAACGTAGTGAGGTCTCTGATTTTAAATTAAGATGTTTATTTCCACTATGACCAATTTATTATGTATAATGAATAAAGATTTGATTTCTCAAGCCATAGATGAAGTAGAAAGTCGTGTCATACTCTTACTGACTAAAAACCATCACGTTCCAACTCCTACCCTATGTCGAGGACACGGTAACAATGTGACTAGTATATCTATGATCAGCATACGGTACACCTAGCACCTTAATACCAACTCCCTAATCTTTAAAATTTTGCTCGCAGACTCAGTTATTCACATGTTGTTACGACGTGTTCTCAGTACTAGCGTTAGGACGCAGCATCCGACGTGATGATCGTGTAGATACCGCCTTATCTCGCGCACGTTGCGTTGGCGCAAGTCGCTAGGTGCCTCGCCTGTGTCCGCGCCTTTATTTTTAATGTAAGGTGATGTCCATATGGAGTGTTGGTGACACTTTCATTCTGATATTAACTTCTAGTTATATACGGACATTATGGATGCTTTAAACAGGTTAAGTTATTCGTAGGTATCCCCTTAGGAGTTGTTTTTTTGTACCACGACGGTGGCAAAAAAGCACACGACCCACCTGATGGTAAGCCGTTGTTGTCTGAAGCCTTGTGACCTACGTTGTTGTATTCTTACATGTGTGAGTCACAGTAGCCAAAGTTACATTGCCCTTCTAATTATTATCTGA